AATATTCAGGGATTTGTAAACAATCTCTATTTTCACCTGATTTACGCTAAGAGATTATTCTGCATCGGATTTTGTCACTGAATGATAATAACAACGACGCGAAGTAAATTTAAAAAAAAAAATTCCTAAAGCAGAAATAATTTTAGAATTTAAAACTAAAATATTAATAATCGTTAATTTTATTTATTAATGTATTAAATGTATTAAAGTTTTTATTCTTTCTTTCTTTATTTTTTTTAAAAGTGGGTCTATCATTCCCCCAGTTTTTAAAATTTTATGCTGTCGAAAGTTTGCTATATTCGGTAGGTCAGCCTTCAATGAATTTGCGGTCGGAACTTAAAATAAAAATTAAAAATTTACTCCAAATAAATTGGCTATCTCGCTATAACGAAGTTCTTAGGCTTTTAACTATTCTATTTTATACATTTTGAAGAAAGAAAAAAAAGACTAAAATTCGTCATTCGAAAAATTTTTTTTTTTTTTTTCGATTTTCATTTTATGAAACAAATTGAAACTGCAAGTTGGAATTTATGCTTAATCCTAAATATGCTCTCAAATATGTCTGTTTCTGGAATCAATCGCAGAATTTGTTCCCCCCATAACCCATAAAAAAGAAAGAATTTTATGTGGAGGGAAATAACTCATTTCAAAGACTATTTTAACGAGTATTACTGCATTTTTAATTATAAGTTATATATTTTTGATCTTATTACTTTAAATTCAAAAATCTCTAACTTTCAAGCGAATAACGATATGTTCTTTAACCCCTTCCTTCTCGCTCCCGTGATATTTCCGGGCTGGAATGTTCAGTAGTAGAGCGCCAACTAGAATAAAACTAAATCATTTCTTTTCCCTGGAAAACATTTTATTTTTCATTTTACACACCAGATGGCAATACCAAGATATTTTTAAGATAATTGTAGATAGTTAGTTTATTTTAAACTAGATGACAGCACTAATCAAGTACGTGTCGGCAATCAGGGATAAAAAAATTGGCACTTTTATGAACGTTTTCTTGAAAATTAACCGATCGCTAAGGGGTTAACGAACTTATGTATCGGGGAAAGCTTGGTAAGCCCTTGTTGCTAATATTCGAAGGCCTGTAGAAACTAAACTGTTCAACCTAGTAACTGCCTGATTTAACCAAGACATTTATTGTTTAATTTTATTTAAGAAATAGCGCAGAACAGCTGACCCATTCCTGAGTTTACGATTATCAATGTTCAACTCCACACCCTTGTAATTTTGAACCCAGCACAGAAGACAAGGAAATTCCAAGATGAAGCATTGAGCAATATAGCCTTTACGGAGGGTACTTCGAGGAAATTTGCATTTGCGTTACACGGGGAAGAGAACAACGAAAACCGCACGCGATTAGACGTACGACAAGGGGATTTCAACCCACGATTGTCTACCACTGAGGATATTTTAGGCAAGCACTGTGGTTTGTTCGAGCTGGGAGCAAAATTCGTATTTACCAGCCACCACTAGTATTCGATTGGGTTTCCTTTCAGTCAAATATATTTACTTTTACTTTGATTTTTAGGTTGTCAGTATATTATCTTCATCTCACTTACCTCATTGGAAAACTAAAGCACTTTTTATAAAATAATTTTTTTTTTCTTGAAAAAGTCAAATCTACTTGCCTTACCCCACTTGTGTACAAATGTTAACTACATGGTCTTAAGACCAGAGTTGATTACCGGAGTATTTACCAGAGTTAATTACTCTGGATATACAGCAAGAACTAGCGCGTCTAATTTAACTTCAGACTTTATTACATTTAACTTGTCTAAAACTCAAATTGATGCTTTTGATAAAGAAATAACTTTCTATTCCCTGTCAAAAAAATTATTTCCTGGAATTCTAATATTTCTATATGTACCTACAGAAGTGTAATTTTATCTTAAATTAATCGTATAAAATATAATTGTAACAATCAACAGCTTATTTTAAATAATTGTAAATTTCTACGTAAAGATCTCACGAATGAATAAATCACAATTGGATTTGTAAACAGATACTTGATTTAGTTGAGGATTGTCTTCTGAAAGGAAGCTATGCTGTGATAAGACCACCATTGAAGGATTGGTTGGTTCACTTTGAAATATAATTGAGTGCCCGTCTATAGTTCAAATTGATTAGTTTGGTTTAATTAATTAATTTATTTTTTTCAGTTCTCGAACTTATTAACTTTGGATATTTAATTCAATATTTCCATTTTGGCATATAAACTAATTTAATTCTCGAACCTGCGACATTTGATTTTCATCCGAACGATTGAGTTTCCTTTCAGTCGAATATATTTACTTCTACTTTGATTTTTAGGTTGTCAGTATATTATCTTCATCTGATGTCTATTTAAAATAGACATCTTTTGTTCTTTATTTGTCAAATGCCAGTTACATTAGCCGTTAGGCCATTAAACTTCTTGCTTGCCAATAGCATTGAAATATACAGGAAAAATCTGTCAGTGCTTCACACTCGTCCAAATGCTCTGTCGTCATTGGCCGTCCACTATCACATATAACACACAGAGGTGAATCGGCTAGTGCAATGCGAAATAAATGATTCTGCAGACAGTCATGCCCCGTTAATAGTCTAAAAGATGCAACTGATCCCTGGTGGTCAGGAATGAAAGCTGAGTTTGTTAAAAGAACACTCCAAGGCTTGCCATCGCAAGCCCGAGTGGTAAAATTTCTAAAAGTCTTTTGATATATGAGTGATGTCAGCAGTTTAATGGGCTTTTGTTTCTTGTTTAACACTCTTTCTCGGGGCAGTGGAGGGTATAGCGAAAAAAATTACAGAGAAGGTATTTAATGTTTTAAAGTTATTGGACATGACCTACATGTCCATAGTTTCTTCTTTGTTTTTGAAGGAATTTTTTTATTTTTTTATCAAATTCTTTTTCTCGTTTGTGGTCTCGAAAAATAGAGACGCTGGGGAAAAGTCTAGCGTCGTAAATTTTTTGTGTTTAAAATATCGTTCCAACTCTATTTTAGATTTTTTATTGTAAAGATTACGTATCGATCAAAAAACTTGGGTGATGAGATTTGAAAATTTCGAAATTTTGTAACTGTAAATGTAACCGCGAAAGCTAGGCAATCGTTTTAAACTTCATTTTTGAGCTCATCAGATCATAATACCACTGTTATTTCTTTCATCGAAACGCTATGCTCATGAGGGTCGTATGTCGGCGAAGTTATTTTATTGTCACCCTGCATAACAACATAAAAATAAATGTTCCATAATATTTATTTATTTATTTATTTATTTTTTAAATTACCGTAATCTATTTTCATTTCTATATATTTTTCAATCTGATGTGTCTCGGAATACCAAAATTTTTGTACCCTGTTTTTATTTCCTCGGTTACAGTGCCATATGTCAAGCAAAATGTATAAACTTATGGGTCAAATAGCGTTATTTTTTTTCCAGAGAATCCGAATCTGTAATAAAAAAATAAGGGTCGTATTTAAGATTTCACGGAGGAAAATGGACTTTATTACTGTTTAGCCTTAAAAAAATATTGATTACGCCTATTTGTGAATTTGTACTTATACCCGATATATATATGGGTCATTCTCACAAAAAGTCATTTTCATGTCCCCAGTATATTTTATGTTTGTTTTACAGCTTACGAAAAAAAAAAATTTAGGGAAAGTGTCCTTCAGAATGCAAGCTAACAAAAGAATAAAAATAAAATTATCAATTTTTATTTTTCATTTATTTTTGGTAATTAAAATATACAAATATGTCATTCCCTCACTTGTCCCCACTGCTGATTTAAAAAAAGAAAAAAATTGTTTCCGAAATAAATTTTTTTTTTTTACAAATTCGTGTTTTTTATTACAGAATACTGAAATATAGAATTCAGAAAATCAATTTTAAATGTAATTTCTGATAAAAATATTAACACAGCACTATTTTAAACTTTGTCCCCAGTGTTTCGCGTCATTCCCTCACA